CCATGAACACACATAAAAGAAAAAATAGTGATTATGTGAGGTGAAAAAAATTAGTTAGCATGATTGCAATGTTCATTTTATATAAGTCATTTTTATTAATCCATTACTAAATATGAAGAAACAAATTCCTGGTGTTGCTATTTTGTGGGGAGCCCTGTAATTGGCTGCCACCTTAACATCTTCAGGCTGCACCACCTTAATGCCCTCTAGGTTTGGTAATTAAGCAGCATCTTGTATAACTTGTTTAGCCTGTCCCCAGGCTATGCATATTGAGCCTGCTGGCAGAAATCTCTGTCTGTCACTGTTGCTAAATTGCCTGCTGATGTCTCAGCACCCAAAATCCCTCCTCCCCAATATCCTATATATTTGCTACTCCTTCCATGAATAAACGAGACTTGATTGGAATTCTTCATCTTGTCTCCGGCTCTTTGTGTCTCTTGCTCCCTTTTCATCCCCACTCCCCCTCTAGGGTCTCCGTGGATTTACCCACGGGCCGGTCAATATTTGTCCTGAGGATGACTGTCAGAAGACCTTGCTGTTGATAAAATTCAGTGTACAAAAGAAAATGTTTTTCAAGATATTTTCCTACCTTTTCTTGCCTGTTGGAGATGAAGAAAGTAAGATCCTCCTGAGTATTCCTAATTGACAGCCTATGCTCACATCTGTTAGAGACCTACATTTTGTACTGATTTTGTAGTTAGCTTTCAAGCTGAAAAGTTAGTGTATAGTAATTAAATTAACTATAACCAACATACGTGAAAAAATAAACTACTTATGGAATGATACTTTAAGTCAAAGTTTCAGAGAATTCCCAGAGACAAAAATTTAAGAAACTTAGATCTCAAATTGATGGCAACTGCACACACTTTAAATAGATGGACATTATGGCAATATTCTTCAGTCTGAGAGTGAAGGATTTTTTCCACCTTTTTAGATTGTCTTACTCACTTTGCTGTCACTGGAACACAGTACCCAGTACTTGAAACTTAACTCAGGAGAGGTTTATTTTGGCTCACAGTTGATTCCCCCTCTGATCCACATAGTAGTGGAAATCCTAGCCAGAGCAGTTAGACAAGAAAAAGAAAAACAAGGCATCCAAGTCAGAAAGAAGGAAGCCATTCGAATGACATGATCACCTATGTAGAGAGTCCCTAAGAACTGACAAAATTCTGTTACATCTGACTCCAGGCTCTCTGAGCACTTGGCTCTACTTCTCACAGTTCAGATTTGAGCCAACTTTGCCCTTTAGTCTGTTCATCATCCACCTTATCCTCAGTCAGGAAACTTACTGTAAAAATTAACAGCCTCAATCTGGAAAATTATCTTTATCTCCACTGCAATTTAAAAAATATTCAAATTCAACAATTCAGTTTTCACATATTTAACCTGATCACTGTTACTTGATTCTTCTTAACTTTGTTATCTTCTTACCAAAGTAAATAAATTTAAATAGAAGAAATAAAAACTTTTATAACATACAACAGAAAAGATAACATGTTAAAAGAATAGGTTTACATTTTAACCCATCTTTCAGATATCTGTAAAATGAGATTTTTCAAATAGGAAAATGTTAATTTTTGTATGAGCTTATTATTTCTTAGAATTCAGTACTCTTAGAGTTCAGTGAAATTCTTTAATCAATTTAGTATAGAAGGAAGAAAAATCAGTTTTAAGAGATAAAGCCAAAAAAGGAAGTTCTAACTCAGTTTATGTTTTCACTTAAATAGGACACTGTCATTTGACTGCATCAAGTTACAAGTCAGATTATTGAAATGACTACGAATAGAGATTTTCAACTTTTGTTTTTAAGTGTTAGTGTTTTAAGTGTCAGTTTTTAAGTGACTTCTTTTATTAACCTGATTTGAAATGTTCAAAGTAGTTTCATCTTACACTACATTCAAATCATTACATTTTCTTATGAAATAAAGATTTAAAAAGATTCGAGTGTTGACCAGTTAGTTTAGGGGTACAGACTGCGCAAAATCAAGACAGTTCCTCTCTTGGTTGGTTTTGTACAGGCATAACAAAATATGTAACACAGGGTACACTGCAAGTTAAGAGATGTATTTAACTCACAGTTCTGGAGAGTGCAGAGCATGGCATCCACCTCTGTCTGGTTCTGCTGAGAATTTCATGGCTGGTGGCATCACAGTAATGGGAAAACATTTGGAGAAGATCACATGCTAAGACAGAAGGGGAGGGACCAGTCTTGCTCTTTTTAAAGCACATCATTCTCAGAATACTTCACTCTTTTGAAGCATTATCTACTCTCTGAGACCAGAAATAATCTATGAATGATGTTGGACACCACATGACCTCACAACCTTCACTAAGGCCCACCTCTTAAATGTTCTGTTTCAGACCAGGCTTCCAACAATGAACTTTGAGGGAACACATTGAAATCATATCCAGATCACAGGGGTTCCCATCCACATGAAACTGACTTCTGGTATCAAATTTAAAAAAAGGAGAATAAAGCAAAGCTTAGTGATATAGTCTGAATATTTAGGTCTTCCAAATATTCACATGTTGAAATCCTTACCTACCAAGGTGATGGTATTAGGAGGAAGGTTGTCAGGTCATGAGGTGCCGTATGAAAGCCACAGGATTAGTGCCTTTATAAAGGCCACTGAGAGCAGTGCTTCCTACCTGCAGAGGGATAAGATGACTATCTTTCAGGAGGCCTGCTCTCAACAGACACTGAGTCTCCCAGGCCCTTAGGTTTTGACTTCAGCCTCTAGTCTGTAAGAAATAAATACCAATTGCTGCAAAGCCACATAGCTTGACCCTGTGTTATTGTTCTCTTTAGAGCACTTATCACTCCCCGACATTGTGCTATACATGTGTCTTGATCTTTTCTAGTAACTATAGAAAAATTTCATAAGCTATGTGGCTTTCCATCAATAGACCAACTGGTTAGTGAGTATCTCCTTTTGAGGAGATGACTTTTGGGAGAGAACTGAGTGGAGACAGTAAGTTCTATGAATATCTAAGTTAAAAACAAGCCTTCATGTGCATTTTATGAGGACTGGAGTCTTCACTTGTAAGATAATGAACAATAGAAAAACAGACCTAACACTTTTGTAAAGATGAAAATCAACTTCCTGTTATGGCATGGCAAGTCACATTGAACATTACATAGACATAAACATTCACTTATATGGATCTGTGCCAGGAAAATGTATAAATCCTTACCGAGCAAGTTATGTGCAGAGATAACTGCCAGTGCTATCAACCAGCTCTAAACAAAAGAGAGAAAAATAGCTTGGCTGTAAGTTGACAGAAAACACATTTCCTTTAGAGTTTTGACCATCTGCAAAAGTGAAAATTTATGGGTAGAAAATCTCGATGACTAAACTCAAAACAATGAAAGGAAGTCTCAGCCTGCATCCAGCCCTGAGATGGAATGGGCTGGGCACTTGACACAAAGCCAGAGTTCTCTGTTCCAATCCTAAGTGCAGCTGTAATTGCTCTTTACAAAGTTATATGTAGTTTTGAAATGAGGGTGTATTGAAATGAGAGACCTTCTCATAATACAAAGTGAATACTTAAAATACATATAGTGATTGAAGAGTCTTATATTTTTAGAAAAGTAAATGAATAATAGTTCAATATACTTTTATCTAGATTATGTTTTTTCAGAAATAGCATACTTTTAATTTTTTTTAAATTTTTACAAATTCTGTCAATAATAGTACTAGAAGCGCCTGCCTACCTGGTAAGTGCAAGGTCCTGAGCTTGATTCCACATACTACAAGAAAAAACAAACAAACAAACAAAAAGCCAAAAATATAATAATACTAAAAGTGGAACTAATTGTACTATGAGCCCTTTTTATCTTTCTTAACTGATTGTACGATTTTTAACAGATTATGTAAAAACAAACTTTAGAAAAAATATCACACAGTCTTCATATTTGCACAGTATATTCTCTATAAGTTTTCTACTATATTCTCATGCTGTATTTTAGGTTGTCACTTATGTATATTTTAATTTCCAATAAATGTACAGTTAAACCCAAAATATGGAGAGAATAAGCAGAAAAAACTGTACTTTTCAAGAATTAGGACTGTACAAGTTAATATTAATGAAAAATCATTTTTTCTGAACACTCTGAACTTTTCAGGAATACATGACAGACTTCACACAAGTGATTCCTGCCTCACATTAAACCATACTCTAATGACAATAGATTTGTGCAAGAGATTATGCTACAGGTTTTTAAAAAATTAAGAAAAATAGATCACCAAACACATTTTTGTGCAGTTATTAAATGCAATTGGGATGATTTTTTCCACTTGCAACAGTCTGGAAAGTTTAGAGGGTCCAGTGTAAACTAGTAAAGGTCAAGGACAATGACTAGAAATTTTAACTCACCTGCATCCTCAGAGAAGTTTCATGTAAACCCCCTTAATGTCAGCTTTCTCAGACCTCGCCCTGTGTAATTAAATTCCTCTAATCTTTATACTCTATTTACATTGATATTCCCCTTTCTGATTTAAATGAAGTTAGCCAGTGTAAAAATTATCTTTTTCATATATAAATACCAATTTAAAAATTAATTAATGAAATACTTTTTCAAAGTTAATATAGGAAATAAGATAGAAATACTAAGAACTTTGGCAACTGAGATTCCTAAACAAAGGATAATTGCATTTGATAGAGTATGAAATTCTGAAAATTCCTCTTATTCCCCATTTACTGTATAAATATGATTTTCAAACATTGAACAGCAGTCTATTTCCGATGAGATACAATGTAACCAAAGTCTCTAGCTGAGCATTTGCCCCTCGGTCTGTCAGTAGGGGATGGGGAATTATCAATAGAAAGAGGCTCAGTGGCTGTGCAGCTCTGGAGGTGTCTGGGAGGAGGTCCTTAGCTTAGTTGAGGAAATGACGAGAAGGAAATAGTTTTGTGTCTCGGGAACCATGTGGAATTCCAAGATAAGAAAAACAGTTGCTAATTTGAGTATAAAAGCAGGAAACATGATACACTTATTTCCTTTAATGCAAACACAAGTATATGAGGGATTGTGTGAAAATTATTTTGCTGAACTCAAATTGCTTCTTTGGGACACACGGGCTTTTCTTTCTTATGGATATTATGGCTAATAACACAACTTCAGAGATTTTGTGGCCAGAGAACTTTTGGGGTAAGGTATTTACTTTAACTGTTTTTACTTTAAATGAAGATGCTGAGAAACGTACTGTGTAACTTATTACAACATTAGAAATATCTAATATGTTTTGTTATAATTTTAAATTGATTAAACTTTTCATAGATTTACTACAAGAAACATTTACAAGAAATGTCTTTAGAGTGAGCTATAGAAACATCAAAAATAACCTGAGAAATAGTATAGATCTTGCCTGGTTTACAGAATGTAATTAAATAATAATGAGAACTTTTAAACAGGAATAGAAAGGAAAAAAAATATAGAGTGGAATTAATTGCTATTTGGAATATGACAGTGTGACTTTGACTAAAATTTATTTATCTGAAAGTTATAAATTGTGTGTTTTATTTAATGGAACCAAGGCAACTCTACAGAAGTTATTACTGTAACTTACATCACCAGCATTATACTCATTAATTTCCAAAATGAATCTAAATATGAGATTTACATTTGAATTAATTTAGCATAATGACATACATAAAATAAGGGAAAATGATTTGAGATGGAAAAAGTTGAGAGGAGACAGCATCACATATAATATTTTCAAGGAAGCTGCTCACAGAGGCAAGAGCAATGACTCCGGAGTGATTCTGGCTGAGTTCAGTTACAGCCAAGTCTAGCCGTCCCTGATGCCTAAGTGTTGTGGGGTCAAGGGACACTGGGGTGGCTGGAGGTGCAGGAAAAGGAAAAGTGACATGGACTCTCCTGCTAGACAAATTCAAAAATAAAGGGGACAATCTGATAGACACCCCCCCAAAAAAAACCTTTAAAGAACAACCTTGAGCTAAGGAAGAGATCTGTAACCTCTTTGCAGGTCCTGAACAGGATTTTATCCTCAGAGAAAACTGTCAGACTTTCTGCTGTGATTCAAAGTGGGAATTTAAAAACTGTCAGGGGGAAAGTGAGCGGCCTTGGCTTGCTGTTCCTAATAATTTGACCAAATTGTCACCACAGAAATTGACTTGAAGGCAGTTAATTCCTTCTCTTTTTAAATTAATGGCCATTTCTGGTTTAAGAAGTTTATTAATCAATAGCTTAATGAAATTATGTAATAAAATTTTAAAAGAAAATATGCTCCCATACTATAAAAAATAGCTTCAGAAATAGATTTTTTCAAAATGAACACTAAGAAACAAAAAAGGTTTTGAATTATGGGATCTAATTATATATTTCTGACAATATCATTGCTATCTTCATTTACACAAAGTAAATATGCTAAGAATAAACATAATGTGTGTAAAGTAAATGCATCATTACAGCATGCATGACTGCACAATTATTCAAAAAATAACTCATGGAAAAAATTAATATGTAAAAGCCAGATATACTTTTTCAAGCCATTCAAAATTAACTTTTATGTTTACATTGGAAAATGATTCATTATCCATGAGTAAAACATGACCATAATCATTAAAATAAAGCAGAAATTAATAAGAAAATGTTTAGTGGGAGTCCATCCTTTAATCCTAAAATTTAGACATTTTTTTGTAAGAAATTCCATGGTTAAATAGGATATCAAAGATATGCCCTAATGTTCCTTTCTCTTAACATGTCAATATTTTGGAAAATAAGTGAAACTAATAAAATCTAATAAGGTTACATTTATTGATAAATACGTTAAAGAACAATGCTAAGATGAACAGATAAAATGTTTGATGACTTGGGGGAGAAGAGGATAAGATTATATTATTGCTTTTGGGACAAAAAGTTAAATATAAAAGGCAAATATAAATATACTATATGTATAAAATATGTAAATATTTCCTGAAATATTAATGTCTTTATTTTTATTTTTTCTACCAAAATCATTACCTACTTTGACCAGCAACTCTCTCATAATATTATTCTAAAAATATTGTACAGCATAATGCATTGTTTATTGTTTCCCAAATCAGTTGTCTGGTTGGGGCTTGTAATTCAGGGAAAATAAAATAGCTATGAAAAACTGACATGAGCAGGCTTCCTATGGTTAAAGTTCATAAAAAGTTGTTTTCCAGATTTAACGTCCTTAAAATACCAAGTTTATCAAGACTGACTGCAGATATCAAGACTGACTGCAAGTTATTACCCACTAAAACTTATTAAATGTTATTTTTGCAGTAAAGTCATTAGAGTAAAAGCTGGCAAACAAAATCGCCCTGAAAATGACAACATAGACACATACTACCACCCTGAATGGTCCATATTGGCTTTCTTTAATGCCAAGCAGCAGAAAGTATGATCAGGAAAGTTCGTTATGCCCTACTCTTATGAAAGGAGACAAATGTCACTAAACTCAGTTATTGTCTTAGTATTTAAGAATACCTGACAGCCTCACACAAGACAGATTTGTGGTATCTGCTATTTTATCCGACCCTCCACCTCAACACACACACGCCATTTGTCTAGCATTGTGAAAAACAGGAAAGATACTGGTAGAGGAGCCTACACCTAATTTTCACCTAATTTAAACTTCACCATAAGTACAATGTCTTTCAAGAGGATTACATTCTCAGAGGTGATTATGTATACATGCAAATGCAAACATAAGGCAACACCAATAATTATTGCCTTTTTAGTGTATATTCTATTAAATAGCAGTAAGTGATACCATATCATAGCAGTTTTAAAATGTTGATATGGTCCCTAAATTCTTTTTAGAAAAAAAAAAAAGAATGGGACAGTGCCTGTTCTTGGGGACTTACGTAAATTCTAAATAGATAATTCTAAGGATGTTTCAACCATTTATTTTTCATTCATTAACTTATCCCCCTTCAGCTCTCTAATTGGCTCACAAACACTGGCTAACCATCTTAGCTAGGCAGTGTGTTAGGGGCTGATGACCTAAGCAAGATATTGTTCAAGAATTCCAAAGAGCTCAGGAGAAATGTTATCAGCAAATATGCAGAAATAAAGATTTAGGCATGTTTATGATGGAGTGAGTTTATGATGGAGTGCCTGGGGTGCTTTGGGATGGAAATCATAGGTACACGATGGTAAATATCTGTATTTGCCACGGAGGCCAATATCTGTAAGATGAGTGTCACTGTAGACATTTGACCTAACTTAACTGAATACTACCAGTTTAGTGTCTTCAAATCCATCAGGTTTCACCTCTCTAGGATTGTCCCCTTAGGTTAGAAAGGTAGGGTCCAGGATTAAATTCTATCCTGAGTATCAGAAGGAGAGAGAGACAGAGAGAGCCTTTGATCTTTCAAATTCTGGCCTCTGCTGACATCTACTGACAAGTATTCCTCATGTGTTTTGGAAGCTCTTTCCCTTCCTGTCTTCACCATTGAAGCCTCTAACCAGAAAGTCAGTCTTAAAGGATCTATGCAGCATTGGCTAATGACATGGCTTTTTTTGTTGTTGTTGTTTCTGAAGCCCTTCTTGTCTACTGGCCTTATTCGGTTAATTTTATCTGTCTCCGTGGCACCAATTATGTTCTCTCATAATGCTAAAGCTGTCAGCACCTGGTTTCCTGTTCTCCCCTTCAGGGACCCAAGGCTTCTGAGAGACTTTCTGTTTCCTCTACATGTAATCCTCTCCAGAGAACTAAGAATCCATTCGCTGGATTCCCTAAACCAGTCTGTAGCACATCACAGGTGGAACAGAATGGCAGTGTCTATCTCTGAAACCTTCTCTAGTCATATGGTGCATAGTTCTTTCTTTTTCTCACTGCAAATTCTTTCCCATTACATTGTTCATGAAAACTGACACAACTTTCATTGTTTCCAATACTGGTTGTGGTAAAATATAATGTTCTTGAGGCCTTTAGATTACTAGGATTTTGAAGCTGCAACCACCAAAAACAAAAAACTCCAAAGCATCCTTTTCCCTCTCAAAGTACTTAGCTTTTCCAACAAAAATGTTGGTTTTTCAAAATTACTAATTATTCTCTACAGTTAACAATTAATTTAGTAATTCAGTAATCTAACAGTGACACATTAACTTTTTCCTTTGCCATAGATTCTAACAGTTGTAACCATCTCTGAAGTAAGTAAAGACATGAATGATAGTGAATTGACATCCTGGGGACTCTAGTTCTGTTGAGGGAAGGAATTCTTGATTAATAACCGAGGAAGTTATTCTTCAATCCACAGAAGGGTTCTAGCCAGCAAAAGAGAGTAAGATGCTCCCCTAGAAGTTGGGAATGGGGTGCAGGCTTATGGGCTGGGCACATGCCTCAGAGCTGCCCTCCCAGAGTAAGACAAATGCAGTCTATATTCAAACTCACTTCTTCAGTTACCGTTTTAAAACGTCTGCAACAATTCTCTATCGTTGTGTATAAAGCCCAGTCATTATTTCCTCAGTTATGTCAGATGCTTAGAAAGTTTGAAAAACAAGTGTTCACAAGTGCTGGTCTTTAAAACAATTCAATCTGAATTGTCTAGAAAACATAATGGAAACTCGTCTCTCACACTGGGTTCTTGAAATTCTGGTGCAGTATTATGAGGCTGGATCTGCCAGGCTGTACTTTTAAATGGTTCCCTGGTTTCTGAACTATTGACATTCACAAGACTTGTCTTTTCTTGTGATAACCTTCCCTTCTCCTTTTCCCCTTCCTCACAATTAGTTTGCTTTTGTTCTCATGTCTCTCATCTCTCTCTGTCTCTTTATTCCTTTGTCTCCACTTCTCTGTCTCTGTTTCTCTCTGTTTCTATCTCTGTTTCTCTTTCTCTCATTCTCTCTGATTCTACATCCAAGAAAGCCTGTGAAACATTAACCTTTTCCTTTGCTTAATTAACTTCTTTTCATTATTTGGCTTATTTTGCTTAATATGATGACCTTTAATTCCATCTGTCGTTTATATTATTCCATTCTATATGCATGAATGATACCGCACGTGCATATCTACACCACATTTTCTTTATCCATCCATCTGTTGATGGGCACCTACGCTGTTCACATGGCTTAGGTATTGTGAGTGGTGGTGCAATAAACATGGGTAGCACAATCAACTTCGCCAATGATAGCAGGTCATCTGAATTTTCTATTGGTTTTTCTGTTAGTTATGGTAGTTTGTGTTTTCTAAGCATTTGTTCATTTAAATTGTTTCCAAAAATATTGTGTAAAATTTGTTTATGAATTTTAATGTGTTCTCATACATTTTTTCAATACTTCATTATTAAAATGTTTACATATGCAGAATCATTTGAAGAATTCAGTAATGAACAATCATCAATTCTGGGCCTGACTTATTTTATTTATCATATTTTCTAGATTCATTTATATTGTTACAAAGGATAGAATTTCCTTTTTAAAGTACTGAATGATGATATTCCAATACTATATAATACTCTTTTATATGTACACACAAATACAGTCATACACCTCTTAATGACAAGAAAATATTCTGAGCAATGTGTTGTTGGACAATTTTGTTCTTATACAACCATCACATAATGTACTTATACAAACTCAGATGGCCATGATGTCATCATGTAGTATAATCTTATAATTGATCCAAATGCCTATAATATAGTGCTCCAGGAGGCTGAGCAAAAGCATCAAAAGTTCAAGTCCAGCCTGGGCAACTTAGTGACTTAGTGAGACCCTTTCTCAAAATAGAAACAATGGTCTATTTAAGGACTGTCAAGGAGAGAAGAGTGGATGGAGTCCAGAGATCCAGAGGAAGAGCAGAGGAAATGAGCTTTGAAGGGAAAGGAAGTCTCTCAAGTAAGGACTTTGGGGCCTTGCTCATCTAGCTCAATGCAAAGTCTTATGTTTGCTGACAATACTCAAAAAATAAATAAAATGCAGCTCATGGCTGTGTATTATTAAATTTCTTTATCCATTCATGTGTTGATGGGCATTTAGATTCATTCCACATTTTACTATAGTGGTAATGCTGTAATGACCATGGGGTGCAAATTATTTAATTCTTTATTTTTGGAAACACAGTTAGAAATATTGCTGAATCATGTGTCTATTTTTAATTTTTGAAAAATCCGTATACTGCTTTCCATCATGGTACCAATTTTCCTATAACCAGTTTATTCTCTTCATAATTTATATGCAAGTTTTAATTCTAATAACATGTTCTGATGACTTTAGCTCTGTAGTATATTTAGAAATTAAGTAGTGAGATGTCTACAGTTTTCTTTTTCTTGTTTTTTTTTTTGTACATTCACATACATTGGTGTAGTTTGGATATTAAACTAGTTAAAGCTTAATGACCAGCCCGTGACTCTAACAGGAGGAAGTGGAACCTAACAGAAGTAGATCATGGTGGAGGTCATCAGGTGGTGGGGGTCCTGATATCTCATTTTTTTCTCTTTTGCTTCCTGGCCATGAGGTGGAGAGCATTGCTGTACCTTCCCCACTACCACAATATTCCATCTCACAACTCGCTGTACCATAGACCCAAAAGAATTTGGCCCACTCAACCAAGGATTGGAACCTCCAAAAGTGAGACAAAATAAACCCTAGTGAGTGTGATTTCCAGTAATTCAGAAAACAAAAACAAAAACAAAAAACAAAACCTCAAGAGTGCCAGTTAAGTATAAGGGGTATCCGTGAGACAAGATACAATTTTAAAGTTAGCAGAGTTGGGCCTCAATGAGAAGATTACATATGAACACACACTTCAAATTAATCATGCGAATAATTGCAAAAAGGATTTTCAAGACCAGATTTCAACCAAGGCAAGGTCCTAAATCAAAATCATGTCTAGTCTGCTTAAGAAATGGCAAGGAGGGAAGAATGGATGCAGCCCACTGGCCCAGAGCAAGAGCAGAGGAAATGAGCTCAGAACGGGGAGTGGGTCTTCCAATCAGGACTTCCAATCACCACCGGTTTTAGGAACTTGTCTTTGTTCTGTGAGAAGCAGAAGTTTAGAACCAGAGTAAAATGATTTGGCTTGCAGTTTGATAGCTTCACTCTGATGACTGTTGAGAACGGAGTAGAACTGAGTGTGGAGAAGGCAGCAAAGACAGAACAGGAAGAGCAGCTGAAACAGTGCTGCAGCATTTCAGGTATACATAGTGGTCACTTGAACAGTGAGATCTGAATTCTGGGCCGTTTGTAAAAATAGAAATATCCAATAGAATTTTCTAGAGGATGGAATAAACACATAAAATACTTATTCTTCTACAGTTTTATAAAATTTTTATTAGTGTATGATTGTAGTGCATAGTGATGACACTCTTCATGGGAGTCGGTCCAGGTACATAACATGGCTTAATTATTTTCTCCCTCCTTCCCCCTGCCTCCATCTCTTTGCCCCCTGCCCTAGCTGTTATTTTGTCCCTCTTTCCTATTTTGCATCTTTTATTTGCCTTTATGTTTCTGGTTTCTCATATAAGACAATGTGACACTTATAAACAATGTGATACTTAAACCTGTGTGCCTGACTTCTTTCTTTTTTTTTTAATTTTATTTAAGGAGAAAAAGAAAAAAATCAGAGAAAGAGTACAAGTTATACAGATTTACAGAAAAAAATAAACAGTAGGAAATCACTAGTTAATGGATTACATATTGTCATCTTAGAAATAGTTGTTCAAATTACAAAATTAAAGCTTATAAAGTGGACATTCCAACAGTGAGACTGCAAACAGTTCTGTTCAATGATCCAACAAAACTCAGTAATATCACTATCTATCTTATACACTTAAATATACATGCAGTTATATCGTTTAGAGCACTTTCTTTTCCTTTCTTTTGTACAATGACAATTACACATTTTGGGTTTTGTTGCTCCCACAGTTCTTATTACTTTTTTGGAAAAGAGTTGAACCAAATGTGACATAACAGAACAGTCAGTCAAATCAAAAGGGTGGACATAATAGATAATGTAAAAACATAATACAAGGTGATCAACAATGGTTACCATAATGCCTCCTGCTATCTCTAATAGAATTGCCTATATCATCAGTTATAATAAAATTGAACAAAACAGTAAAGAATAAGACCAACAAAACCAAAACATTGGAGACATTATAGGTCTTCAAGAGTAGATAATAGTCAACCAGAATGGGCGTCATAATGAATCCCGCTATCTTCACAGCTGTTGCCTAATCTTTCGAACCTGGTACTATCAAGTAAAACAGAATAGAGGGACATCAGTCAAAACAAGATGGTGAGAGCAATACAGGGCTTTAAATCAAGATAATGGAAAGTCAAAGTGGGTTACTATAATATATTCTGCTATTTTGTTATTTATTTTTCCCTTAATTAAAAGGATAAAAATAAAAAAGTAAATAATAAAATGGAGATTGAGATAAAAGAGGGCATAACAGCAAAACAGCGCAGATCAAAACATAACCATTTAAGCAAAATAGTGTTTCACCACAAGATAACGTGTCTGACTTCTTTCACTTCACATTATAAGTTCAAGGTGCTTCCATGTTATTATTAATCAAATTTCTAGCCCCAAATTATTCTTCCTAAAAATCCTTTCACCAAATGTCTTTCTGTTGCCTAACTATCCTCCTCTGAGATACTAAGAATTCCATGGCCTCATTAGATAAACGATGAGCTTATGTTTCCTATAACTGCAAAAATTTTGAAAATTCAAGACAATGTTACATTCCAGTGTCACTGATAAAAATCACTTTCAGCTGTAAGAACTATTCAACTGAAGGCCACTAGATGGTATCTTATACCAGATTTTAATAACAAGTGATAGCATTTCAGGTGTTGGTTATATTTACTGAAAACAGTTAGTTCAAGGACTTCAGACTTGGAAATTACTATAGTGGCTGTTATTAACAACAAGAAGGAACAATGACTTGAGTAAGTTATACAACTATTACTAGTAATATCTGGAATCCACTATTACATGCCAGCCACTCGGGAATTGTACAGATATAAATCACAAATTAAAGTAGCAATGCTTAACTACGACATGTCTTACTAATGTTAGAGCAGGTTTACCTTCTCTTCAATGAGTGAATTGAATTTTACAAAGCAATTATTTGGTCTCATTCATGTATTACATTAGAATTATAAAAATTAAAATCGCACCTCCTTTTTCTTTCCCTAAAATTGCAGAGAAATAAGAAGACAACAGATTTCAAAGAAGCAGTATCTGTACAAATATCTTCATTTTGGGAGGGTACATTTATTCTCTATTAAATTTTTAAAAGCCTCCTAAAATCTATTGTCAGAAGCCTCACAGAATGGACTTGCCTGTGTAAAAATGTTAAAGTTATCTGAGCAACAGATGAGGCTTTCATTGTGCATTTTCAGGGTTAAAATTTAAAAATCCATATGTAAGACCACACTGAAATTGGCTATACTTCAGTTATGACACTTGACATTTTTTCCTATAACTTTTGTGCATTTCTACATCTATTTTTTTTTTCAATTTGGACTGAAAGGAAGCTTAAAAGATAGATAAGCTTTGGGGCTGGGGATTTAGCTCAGCGGCAAAAGCACCTGCTTGTGAGTTCCATCCCCGGTACCGATTAAAAAAAAAAAAAGAAGTAAAAAGATAGATAAGCTTTAAGTACAAATAATTTAAAAAGCAAAATAAAGATAGACAACAAGAAACAGGGAGATAGGCCTTATGGAGATGGGAAGGGAACCTACAGGACCGGGAGAGACTTCCGGAAAGGGAGAGCAGGAAGGCGTGATAAAATGGACAAAGACGTGGCACATTTATGCACCAACTGCCCACAATGAATGTATTTATGATGTGTAATAATCCTATAGACATAATAATATTTGTTGAATTAAAATGGCACTAACGTAGTGAAAACAAGAGAAAATGTCTATGAAAGAAAAAGGAAGGTTTCCAAATCTTATGTCAGAATTACCTGAAAAATTCTCCATTTCTGTCCAGATAAAAGATTTAGCACCCCAATTTCTAGAACATATATTTGGCTCACTTTGTGAGGTAGGAAATAATTGTCATGGTTTATGCACTCAAACAAATATCAAGCAAACACACATGTCATACTTTCCTATGTCAAGTTTAATATTACTTTAGTACCAACTTACCCTACTTTATTAATTTTATGTATATTTAAAATTTGTTATGTAACCTTTTCATATAGCTATAATATTTAGAGTCCTTCTCCCTAATTTTGACGATGGGAATATAGTATCAAGGTACAGACAGTGATCTTTTAAATAGATGGGTTGTCAAATTGTTTTTATGGCAATGTTATTGTAGTTTTATTTTTCTTTTTTCTGGTGCTGGGAATTGAACTCAGGACTTCATGCTTGCCAGGCAGATGCTGTGCCCTTGAACTACATCCCCAGCCTTCTGTAGTTTCAGTGCCACTAAAAACAATCTTGTTACTTACAACACTGAAATCTGTCATTTAAGAACATTGAAACAGTCCAAATTAGTCTTTAATAATTTTCCCATGAAGTTTGGACATTATCTTGCCCTTCTTGCATTAGAATAATAACATATTTGTAGAAACAAAACCATTACCTGACATAGATATATTTTCACTCCATGTATTTTTTTTGTCTTTGTAAAATTCTCAATTACTTGAATAGGCCAGAATTATTTTTCCTTGATTTTCTATCTTTTTCAGGAATTGCCTCTTGCTGTAATTGCACTATTAATAACATTTATATTGGGAACATTTTATTGGTTAAAAGATAGTAGAGAGGCACACAAGGCATTGAGACCATGTATAGGAACCTCTGCAGCCTTTAAATGGTTTTATTGGTAATTGAACCTATTTTCTCCTTTTAGATTCTGGTTTGAACCTCCTTTGTTGGAAAAATAAATATGGTCTTTTAATTTCGTATCTTATAATTCCTCATATCCTGAAATATTTGGAGTCTTCAGTGAAACATAGTAGAGATGAAGCAGCTTATATACAAAAGCAAGCGCATGCACTTCATGAATTTGACTATTTCTCTTCTCATTTTACGCCTTACATCAATGTAAACAATTGCTTTGACCAGTGATAGATGTTAGTCAATTTTTAAAATAAATCAAGAGGCACATAGATCTTGCCTTTTGTTTCAATATCTAATGAGGAGTTTGAGCTAGGCCATTTTTCAGGAAAGATTTTGTTCTAGCTAAGCTTCCAGCTCTGTGACTCTATAGTTGCAGTTGCTGGCATTTAAAATGTTCCATTTGAATCTACTGATTCAGAAAGGTGAATCTGTGGAACACATAGTATTGTCTTGCCTCCATTTTCCCAAGGATTTTTGTTCATAATAGGCTGGGAGAAACTGATTAAAGTGATTAAATTTTTAGGCATTTTATTTCTTTACTTTCATTTAAAATTAATGTTATCTGACAAATAAGGAATAAATAACTTAGTTATTAATCTCTTGAAATCCAAGCCTCCCTTGACTCTTCATTGGTTGTGTACCTTTAAATTTGTTCCTTATGTCTCCCAGTAGCTTCAATTATTAAATGGGAGTAACATTAGCATTTTCATTCGTGGGGTGCTGAAGAATCAGGTGACAATAATATATTTACAACAATGCCTGTGGACTACAAATGCTAAGCTATGAGCACTTATCTTACAAGGTAGATACGAAGATTCAATTAGAAATTAGATGCTGTGCTATTTTAAAACATAATGAATTACAAAGATTGGCTAGGGATAGTGACACATACTTGTAATCTTAGTTACTGTACAGGCTGAGGCAGAAAGATTACAAGTTTAAGGATAACCTCAGCAACTTAGTGAGAGTCTGTTTCAAAATTTAAAAATTTTATAAAGAACCGGACATGGAGCTAGTGGTACAGCACTTGCGTAACGTACATGACGTACTCTGTTCGATGCCCAGTGCTGCACCACCAACCAAAACAAAATAATAATAATAATAATAATAATAATAATAATAATTTTGCTTTCTATAACATATTCCTTCAAACAGCAATTTTAAAATCAATTTTACTAAAAATATTCTACGTTGAGAATTCTGCATTTGGAAGGAACTCACAGTTTAGATTCCTTGCCTGCTGCATTTCTTTCCTGCTCAGAACCACAACAGAGGGACCACAGAACATCTTTCATTAATTTATTGTGAATAAGAAGAAGATAATATTTCTGCAGGGTTTTGTCCATATTCTTTGATTAAAATGTTTCTTATAATTAACTTATGGGTTCACTGGTACATAAACTATTCTATTAATGAATGAGCTTTTCGAGGGAAAACTAATTACTATATGTAAAATAACATATTAGTGAACCTATATTAGCCTCACAAAAATAAAGATTGCCAAAAAGTCTCTGGGATAAGGTAAAATTAGTTTTTTAAAACCTAAGTACCATACATAGTAAAATGCTTACACTTATGTAATTTTATGAAAATAAAAAAGATGAGCAGTTTGTGATTTTTATTTAGTTCTTTCCTGGAGCATTCCATTAACTTCAATTAAAGCACTTTTCAGTGAAATGCAGAATCCATATCATGTTTAAAAGTGTCAGAATGCAAGGAAAGTTAGGGATTAGTGATTATAGTAAAACTTGACCAGATCATTGCATATTATATAAAATGGTGAATCCATGGAAGTGCCCATGGGGTGGTGAGTCCATGAAGTAGGCAAGTACTTAAAGCTTTTCTAAAATATTTTGATTTAACCTGATTATCAAATTCTTATTTGAAAAGAACTTGAAATGGACCCTAAAGAATGAACTGATCAGACAGACAGAAGATTTAAAGACATGTGGGGACATACAGAGTTTCAGGGAGAATGATGGGCTTGGAGTAATAAGGGGTCCCAAATAACTTGTGTGTTGGATCATGGGGTGAAGGGTAAGGAAACAGGGTGGGTAATGAGGCTGGAGGGATCTTCTAATACCGGAAAGTTTTCCATTCAAACTAGAAGCTTAATTAGTCATTTTCATCTACGAATATGTTTTTAGTTCACAAGAGGTAGTACGGTAGCATTTCCATTTGGGAAGAGTATATAGTTTTTTTTCCCAAACAGCAAACCTGAGCAAACACGAGGTCTATGAATTGGAGGATACCACTGTGGAGGGAAGACTGCGGAGAGTCAGGGAACAGGAATTCCATTATCACCGCAAGGGCACGATAGCGGTAGGAACTGGAATTTGGACAAAAAGGGTGAACCCAGAATTCTGCACAGGTTATGTCACCATGGAGTTACAGATACGACAATGTGGCAGTTCAGGAAATATGACATAAATCAGCTTGCCAGATGGTTCTATCCCAGCACTTCCTGTCTCAGAATGAGCACAGGAAGTGAGGCCTCCTGAAAACTGCAGGTGGGAGAAATCAATGTGATTGACGAATGCAGACAGAGGAAAAAGGCAGTCAAAGCGACAACGAAATTTGTAATCATTTGGGCACATTAGCTAAAATTGCAAATCAAAAGAAAATGATATTTGAATTACATTTGCAACTCTATATGAAAAAATCAATGAGCTGAAGCATAATCTTAAGTGAACTATTTTGATTTCTTTTTAGAATGATAGCTGCTTCATGCTTGTAATGAAGCAGGGAAATTGAGTTTGTGGCCAACCTGGAATACAAAGCAAGTTTGCAGCCAGATTGGCCTACATAAGCAGATCGTCTCTTAAAAAAAAAGATAAATAAAAATACAACACAAAAAAATGATAATATAACATAAGCAATCAGAATGTTACCCTGATAATGTTAGTATCCTTCTGTCTCAATAAATGGACTATCATCATGTATTCAATGAGTTACAGTTTATACTGTACTTTGTGTTTTTTCTAGATACCTAATTCAAAAGCAATGTAAGGGTGGGGTGTAGCTCAGTGTAGACCCTTTGGCTGGCAGCACAGAACTAAAATCAATTTAGCCATGCTTTCCTTCGTTGCAGATAACCTCATAACTGCCTTCACGGTCTCCATGGCCATCGGGCTGGTCCTGGGCGGGCTCCTCTGGGCGCTGCTGGTGTGCCTGTCTCGCAGGAGAGCCAGCGCGCCCATCTCGCAGTGGAGCTCGGGCCGCCGCTCGCGGGCTGCCCACAGCCACGGGCTCCGGACTGGATTCTACCGCCACAGCGGCTGCGAGCGGCGCAGCAACCTCAGCCTGGCCAGCCTCACCTTCCAGCGCCAAGCTTCCATGGAGTTAGCCAACTCCTTCCCGAGGAAGTCAAGCTTCAGGGGCTCCACTTTCCACCCGTTTCTGCAGTGTCCGCCGCTCCACGTGGAAACGGACAGTCAGCTGATGACCCTGCCTGCACCCAGCTCCTCCGCGCCCGTGGGCACCGCGCGCAGCTCGGGGCGGCCGGATTTCCACTGGAGCAGCCTCGCCCCGCCGCCCCCGCCGGCCTACGAGTCCATCATCAAGGCCTTTCCAGACTCCTGAGCAGGCTGTGTTGGTGTTTTCTCATCTAGCCTTTCCATGAAAGGAAATCACGAATAGGCCAAGCAGCATTTGGGGGACCAAATGACTAATAATTTACAAGTTTATAAGTAAACACGCGCATACACTGAGCATATATATAGATGCATTTTTAAAACACATTTTTTCTCCATATGCCTCACAAAAGTGGTATTTTCCAACATTGTTACGCATTTATACCTTTTGTGTTCCAGGTGAGGCTTATTAAAGATAGGGATTCTAATCTAGGAATCAGCCATTAAATGAAAAAATGAGTTTCTAAAATTCCTTGATTCCACTAATCGATGGGAAGCTGAATCAAGGAAGCTGAACTCTGATAATGTGGTCGGATGCTGCAACAGTTTTGTTTTTGTTTTTTCGGAGATACTCCTTGTGGCTTTTCCCCCAAAATTAGTATCGACATCATTGAAGTAAACTTGGGTTTTCACATGAAGATTTAACTTTTCCTGACTATTGTACTGATGTCATTACAAAAGCAACAATATCACATCCACCTCATTTGACCTGAAAACAAAATTTGTTTTAACAAGAGCCAGTTTTCTTAAGAGGCCGATTTGCTTTCTTAGCCTTGGATAAAGCAACAGGGAAAGTACTTTACCTGGGGGTCTTTTATGTAACTCTACAAACAAATACACTAGGAAGTGTCACTAGGAAGACAGCCTATCCTGTACACCCATGTTAAAGGGTGAGTTGGCTTAGCACCACCCCTGCTTGCTCTCTATGAATTTCAGCCTCATCTTTTGTGTAGTTCAGTGATTAATCATTCATGCTTTGTGGTCATTGTGCCGATAGTTATTTAAGGAGTTCAGGGGCTCAGTGGCTGTCCTTTGTATGTAAGGACAAGAGTTCCCTGGAGTATTATTCAAAACTCCTATAGTTCACTTTTTGATATACCAAATAATTAGTTTATGTCTGTTGTATACTTCTCAGAATGTTGGGATTTCCAATGAAGAAAGCATACTCATTTTTAGGTTTTGTGATTCAATGATCCCAGCTAATAGTGTCTGAACAGTGCGCCAGAATATAAAACTTTTTATCATGATGCAACATGTCCATGTACTATTCCCTATGATGAATGTATTTATTGTGTATTGCAAATGTATACTAATAAAATATAATTTTTACATAAAAGATTCTATATAGTATTTTCATTATTAATGTCATGTATCTTATACTATGCATCGTTCCTCAAGAGAAAGTTTTCTTCAAAATTTCTAAAAAAAGCTCTCTATGTGAGAAAGGAAGGAAAGAAAGATGGAAGGAGAAAAGAAAAAAAGAAGAAAAGCTAACAAGACAATTGATTTAATGTAGGTTGGTTTTTAAATAAATTTGGAAATTGTAATATAGCCAAACAAGATTTCAGGAGAGCTTTAACTTAATAACAAGGCTATTTTTAACTTTTATGTCATTCTTAGTGTTTAACAAAAAATATGCAAATTATATTTATTTTCTAGAATTTGTATGACAGTAAAAATTGTTTTGTGTCTTCAAAATGAGGGAAATGAGACCAGAAATTCTCTGGTGTGTTTAACTGTCTGACAGAATTATTGTCTGCTGCCTAGCACCATTGTAAAACAATCTGAGTATAAAATAAACATTGTGTAGTTTATGACACATGAAATTACAGCCAAAACTTTGCTTCATTTGTAGTTGTTTTAGTTGTATTTGTTTTATTTGAGATGATTTAGTATAAAATTAAATTAATGTCAATTTTAATTCCATATGACACTTCTAAAAAGCAAAGAGAAAACTGTAAAACTAATACATGAGTAAGGAAAACAATTCAGATGAAGAAACACTGTACTATGCAGTTTTGAAATTATTAAAATTCATTGAAAATAAAAGTCTGTGACACTATTCTTTGTAAATGATGGGGCTGAGAGATAATCTTTTTAATATAAATACGTATAACAGAACACTTATAACATCACAAATAAATTTAATAAAATTTTTCAGTGAATTAATGCAAAGGGAAGAACATTAAGTTATTTGGTAAAGACATGAATTTAAATTTCAGAAGTATTTAATACATGTTTAGCAAATGCATGAAATAATGAAAAGCCACTTTTTAAGAGCCAAAGGAAAAGAACAATTACAAAGGAAAATACTAGTAGCTCCATGTCTGTTTAAAAAATCTGAAATTTTTTATCAAAAGATAAATTTATCCAAAGTTTAAAAGAAAAAAAAAGCCAGAATCAAAACAAAGATATCACGAATGAAAGATAGAAAGAACTTCTTAGTATAAGTATTGACAAAATTGTCTAAAGTTATGATTAACTTTTACAGGTGTACAGAAAACAGCTCTAAATAAAGAAGTAAAAGACTAATACAGATAATTCACAAAAAATAATTGATTAGAAAATTTTTGCCAAAATAATCAATATTTCTATATTCTTACAAAGTGCCTGTATACATTTAAACAATAGCATTTTCATCAATCACATTGGCTAATTATTTATAAGAGAATGAAGTGTCTCTCTTTTGGCCAATGTGGCTAATGTACTAAGAAGGAAAGGCTCCCGTGTGTTCTGGGTGCAAGGTGGGTCTGGCTTTCTGGGAAACAATTGGATACAAAAGAATCAAGAGCCTTACATTGTCCAGACCTTTCAGGGATGGTGCCTGATAGCGAAGGTCAGTCCAGGCATCTCAACGTGCCTGCCAGACACACCGTTTTCTTTGTGAAACAAGGTAGTAGATTCTTAGGGAGACCAATGCTGTTCTATTCACCATGCATCACATGCAGCAGATAGCAAACAACTGGCCTTATTGAATGTGTCCTGCTTTGGGGTGAGAAATTGAGATGAAAGGAGAGAGAGAGAGAATAACCCTCCACTAAGGACCTCGAGGAGAGAAGAGACTAGCAAAGGAGAGTTTTGGAGTAAAAAGCCTGAAGCATCCTTTTAAGAAACTCTCATTGTTTAAATTACTTACTTTTTAAAAATTACCAACAACTTGAAAGAAATTAATTCCCAAACTACTTCAGGGGATAAGAAACAGACCCTTAAGGTCTAGGTGGGAGACTAGTTCTGCTTGACATAGGAAAGCAGGCTCCTTCTGTCTCACACTTTGAAACACTTTCTATGAAATGTTTTGAATCTTTTCTCATATGTAGAAGTGGCCAGGTCTACCAATACTATTTGTAACTGAGCTTAGGATGAGACTTGTATGGACCTCAGCCATGTTACTTTTTCTCAGTTGTCTTTTGATTGGTTAGCACATAGATAGGTTGACCAGATTTTCATCTAAGGATTCTCTATAGTAAAATCCCAGTTCTGAAAGGACAGTCAGCCATTTCTGCAGAAAAGGATATCTTTCTTCATGGAATTACACTCATATTGTACCACCAGGATGGGGCTGACAGATTGATTATGAAGTTTTTCATTTTGGAAAGAGTTGGTTTCAGGTATACTCATAGGATACTAACCTTTACATATTCTTTCTCCACATAAAATATTCATGAAAAGATCACTAACCTGAATTTGTGCACATGAGTTATAAAGCATTTTAACCAATTTTTCTCATATGAGATGGAGCCCTGCCAAAAAAAATTGTCCATTGCTTCACACAACTTAGTGCTGAGAGAAAGTGGCGAGATATAAGGCATTTGTCTGACTTGATCTGAAAAACAAGGGATCAGACCACTTTTTATTGTTGTACATGTATGATGTCTCTTATCTTTGTGATTCATTCATTCATTGTGTTTACTGAAATGCCACCATCCATGCGGCTCTTGAGGTTCTTGAGGTGAGAGGATGAAAAATAAAGACGAGACAAAGCTGGGGGTCAGGTGGAGCCCTTGTCTTCCTAAGGGAGGAAAGCTACTGAGTAAGCACAATAGCACCTCTATTTATGTATTCCATACACTCCCCAAGAAGAATGTCAATTTCATCCCCACTGCCTAGCTACTTGTTTGCCTGGCTGGCCTGAGCCCCTTGCCTTCTTGTTTACATAGCCTGTTTTGGTCTCTCTGGGTTTTTTGGGGGGCTGGCCTTGCTTTAGCCCCACACATGTGATCAGGCTCCAGCTTCAAGGGCTCCCTATACTGAAGAGCTTTGTATATTGTAGCTTTACAGGGATTCTAGAGGTGAGGTTATCCAACAAGCTGAAATTTGATTCAATCTTTATACATATTGAGTAAAATAAAAGGCAGATGTAAGTGCTGACACACAGTAGCTCTTGTATGTTAAGGAAAGGAGACAGTCTACTCCAAAGTGTCTGACCAGAAGGGTACCAAGCTACATCAGCATCTGTCATTGAACCAGAAATTCTTGATGCTCATAGCACATATTTTGGAACTATTGTAAAGCAACTATATAAATGCATACAGCTATCAACTGGGTTCCCACAGTGCCAAGAATTTCATGATAGTAGAGGCCCTTTATTGAAAAATCAGACTTTATATATAAGCCTCTACATACCTAAGACAGACAGTGGGAGGACTGAAGCTAACTTAAATTGGACTATTGACCACAATGAGGGAAGGAAGAACTAGGGCTGGCTATTACTGAGAAGCACAAGACAACTAGGCAGACAATGGACATCTGAAAGTGCAGGTAATTAGGTAGGGAGGAGTAGCCAAAGATGTTTGTTCGAAAATTAAGAGCAGTTGCAGAGACATTTTTGATGAAATGCAGGACAAGGAGTTCATGCTATTTATAGAAATTGCTCATAAGATTAGCAAGATAGATATTTAAAAATTCACCAGTGAAAATAAGCATAAAAATTCTAAATGGGGAAAAATCTTCCACTTTCCCATAAGTAAAAAAAAAATTCCTACTAAGAATTCACAAAGAACAGTAAGAAGAAATAGAATTTTGATGATTGATAAGAAACTGACAACAGCAGGTACTTTCCAGCTCATTGGCTCAGCATGGTATTGTGGAGAAAACTCACAGTTGTCTGCATGTCTGAAAATTCAGTCTGATGAGCCATTCATGTTTTCAAGAAAATAGGAACAAAATTTTCAAATTAAGGGAAAAGATTCTAGCAACAGATGAACCCACAAACACATACTCACCTACCATGAAAAAGTTATAAAGATTTATTCACTCTGATGCGATGTACAAATGCTCTTTAGCGACTAACTGTATTAATATGGTTATTAAAAACTTCAATGTTGGATTCAAATGCTACATCCCCTATTCATTCTCTCTTTCTTTCTCTCTCTCTTTCACACACACACACACTCAAAATTGCTTCTCTTAATCTGTTATTTCATCACTATTTTTTATATTGCAAGAAAGAAACATAGTTTGTATTTCTTTTTAAAAGAAGACAACATATTGGGGAACAATATAAAGACAAAAATTTCTAAAATTAATTGATTATTGGCTGATGGAAGAGTGGGGTTATAATGAGAGCACAGGCACACTTTTGTCTACAAACCTCTGCTGTTTCAAAACCACATGCCGCTCCTGACCCTGTGAGGATGGCAGGAATCATCACTGCGTCCAATGCAGTCACACAGATTAGCGTAGAGAAGGCCTTGAGCAAGCAGATGCAGTGGCTTTAGCAGTGTTTTGAGGTGGGGATCTGGGGAGACTTAAGAGTCAGATGGCAAAACCAGAGCACAAGCGAAAAAAACAAGTTGATGGCAAGTAGGGGAATAGTTCATTCTCAAGGATCAAGAGCTGCAGGGTAGGGAAGGGAAGGATGCCATAAGAGATAAGAGGAGGAACTGGGAGTTGCTCTAAACGGGTATCTACTCCACACAAGGACTGTAAACATTGTGTGCTGCGAACATGTGTAAAAAAAGAAGGGATTCAAGAGATGGATGGAAGGAGTAAGGAGGGAAAAAGGGGATGAAAAAATAAAGATGTGCTATGTACAACCCACAAGGACTGCACACATTAGTACATACATGTATTAATCAACTAAAATTAAGAAAGAAATAAAATGTAAAAGCTATCTTATTCTGTAATATATACTGCTTTATTTCTAAACCTGATAAACTGAGAAATATATAGTGTGAGAAATTATGCTAGTAAATTCTAGTAAAATATTTATTTCAGGAAAATGGGCATAGATACAAATAAATCACAGGTCATATAACAAATAGTTGAAATTATAGTGATTAAAGTAAAAAGTGAGGATACGAGATGTTAGAATTAAAATACATTATATTCAGTTTTTATTGGTTTGTTTTTTGGTCCTTTTGAGACAGTGTCTCACTATGTAGTTCAGCTTAGCCTTGAACTCTTTATGTAGCCCGGGCTAGTGAGACTCACAGCAGTCTTCCTGCCTCAGCTTTCTGAGTTCTGGGGTAACAGGTATATGCCACCACCAGGTTTCATAATAAATCACATTTGTTCTGAAAATAACGATGATGAAATATGCCACTGACACAGACAGACACACACGCATGCAGAGGCTCTGTTGTATTTCCTACTACAGCTAATCATAAATCTTGCTAAACTGAAATGCTTTGGAAAAGCTGAAAGAAAAGGCTGGACAAAGCTATACCAGCGTGTACAGAGTATGGCCATCAGAAAGCTGGCCAAGATGAAATATGCAAAATAGTACAAGGTAGCTACAATATTAAAGAATAAAACTCAATGTGGGGGAAAAATGATTATGAGTCTTAAGTGTAACCAAACACCAGAAATGTCTTCATTATACAAAGTGCAAAGTGAAGGATGCAAACAAATATAAAAAAGTCTCAGGATTGTAAGATACTTTAATACCTAGATTAACTTACACATTCTATGTTATTAAAGCCAGAATCCTGACATATAAACTGTGTTTTATATTTGCTTTCGTTATTGTTTTTGCTTAGACGAAGATAGAAAATCATGTGGAATAAAAACTTGAGAAACAGATGATTAGAATTCTGAGAAAAAAAGAG